AAAGATCCACCTGCCTCTGCCTCCCAAGTGCTGGGATTAAAGGCATGTGCCACCACACCTGGCTACATAAGAACATTTTAATCTTGACTTTTTGTTTTTCTCAGTGTCTTGTCTGTGTATGCAAAATGTCATGCCACCAGAATTTTTAAAAATATTTTTATTTATTTTTTAACTTTTTTATGTGTTTGAGTGTATTGCTTGCATGTATGTAAGTTCATCTGTGTTGCTCAATTCCTGTGGAGGTCAGAAGTGGGCATCGGATTCCCCTGGAACTGGAGTTACAGACTGCAGGTAGCTACTATGTAGGTGCTAGGAATTGAACCCAGGTTCTCTGAAAGAGCATGTGGATGCTGGGAATTGAACCCAGGTCTTCTGGAAGAGCAGCCAATGGTCTTAACCACTGAGCCATCGCTATGGTCTCCTATGTACACATTAAAAACAATTAATCTTGTTTTAAAGCACACTCCAGAGTTTTCAAGACGGTAAAATAAAGACTATTTTCCAAAGAAACAACTTTCTGAAATAAATGGAAAAAATAAGTAAAACAGTAACTTTTATAAAATGATGTAGTAGAGCTGGGCATGGCGGTACACACCTTTAACCCCAGCACTCAGGAGGCAGAGGCAGGTAGATCTCTGAAAAATCACCTTTAATCCTAGCACTTGGGAGGCAGAGGCAAGCATCTCTCTGTGAAATCAGGTCAGCCTGGTCTACATCATGAGTTCCAGGCCAGCTGTGTCTATAGGGAGACACTGTCAAACAAAACAAAACAAAACAAAACAAAACAAACAACGCAACAAGAAACAGTGGTGAACCCTTAATTTAAGTATGTATTTCATTTTAGTGAAGGTATAAATTCATTACTCAGGACTCTTTAAAATTTCCAAAGGTAGGTAATATCTACACTGGAAAGAATACTGTAGTTGGCCTTCAACGTTTCTTTCCTTCTATGCCTCATTGAAGAATTCACCTATAAAGGAATTATTGAGTTAGCATCATCACAAGAAACACTAAAAATACAAACTATGATAAATGGAAGAAATCAAAAGGGTACTGTTGAGGTAGAGAATAACAGAGGAATTTCCTGGCAGTCTTTCTCACATTTTAGCACTATCAAAATCTCTGAAGACTCATTATTACACAGATTAGTGGTATTTGACATCAGTTTCTAATTCCATTGGTTTGGGCCAGGGCTAAGAAATTTTGGAGTTGGAGAGATGGCTCAGTGGTTTAGAGTACTTGCTACTCTTCTAAGGGATCCAAAATCATCTTGTGGCCTCCATGGACATCTACACTCATGTATATACACACACACACACACACACACACACACACAAACCAAACAAAAAACAAACCTCTCAACGATATGACTGCCTGAACAGGCTTGCAAAGACCACACCAATCAACATGCCAACTATATGACAAAGGATAATTTCATAAGGCTCTACCCCCTAGGTGACCAGCTACAGGCAGTGAATGGTTTCTGAGCGAAGAAGAATGAGGTTTTTCTTCAGGAACAATATCCCAATCTTAAGGGGTCTGCCCTAAATACTTGCAAATAAGTGCACACTAATTAGACTCAGTAGGCTTTATATATACCCACATACACATAAACACAAATAAATATATAAGAATAGGTCATGAATTCAAGAGCAAGTGGTTAGGGGACATGGGAGGAGTTCAAGGGGATGGAAAGGATGCAAAGACAGTATACTCATGTATGATATCCTAAAATGAAAAAAAATGAAAATAAAATAAAAGAAATATAAAAGAAATTACATTTTGTCGGGCTTGAGAATGGCTCAGTAGTTAAGAGCAATTGCTGCTCTTGCAGAGGACCCATATTGGTTCCTAGCACCCACACTGGGCCCCACACAAGCACTTGCAACTCCAGCTCCAGGGGACCCGATGTCCTCTTTTGGCCTCTATGGACACCCCCCCCACACACATCACAAATTAATAAATAAAATAAATAATAAGAAATTGCAAATGTGCTGAAGAGATGGCTGAGCAGTTAAAAGTGCTTGCTGTTCTTTTGGAGAACCCGAGTACAATTTCAGGAGACTGGACATCTTCTTCTGGCCTCTGTGCGCACCTGCACACACATGCATAGACATACACAGTCACATACATATGAATAAATAAAATAAATCTAAAACAAGAAATTGCAGTTGTAATCAATTCCAAGGTAATGTTTTTGTCACCAGTCTTATTACCACAGACTGAGAATCACTACCCTAATATCAGCTCCTTAGAAGATGAGTTCTAAGTGTTCATGGGCTGCCTGTATTAACAGACACATTTCATAAAGATGCAGTGTTTTAGCCATTGTTGTTTACATCCTCTGAAATAACAAACAGGTCATCATGGATTAATATAGGAAAAAAGACAGGAACTGATTTTTATTGGAACTTCTCTTTTCCAAGAAAAACAGGTCTTCTTTCTTAATCTGTTTATCACATAAAGTGTATATGATTTTCTGCACCAACTTCCCCTCATAAAATAATGTTCTGTGCTGAGTGCATCACTCAGAGCAAAGTCAGACAAGTGTGAACTTGATCAGAATTTTCAGCTTTCTTATTTTAAAATAATACACATGTTCATTCAAAGGTATCACTGAGTTTTAGGTTGGTTTTCTTGACCATAAATAAAATAATCAACAATAAGGAATTTTCAGCTTTCAACAAGACAAAAAGTAAAATAATACGAAGAGAAAATTATTTTCTCATATGCTAGTTAAATGGAAAATGAGAGTCAAGGAGGAAAGCAGCTAATGCCTAAAACCAGAAAGTGCGCTGTGGAAAAGGATAAGTAACTGGGAGGTGATGTATCAGGATACACATCTTCTAATCCCAGACTAATCAAGTTACCAAGAGCATTCCATAAACATCTCTTATGGTTTTCCTCTACCAAGAATCAAGGTAACATAATACTGAGAACTTTAGATGGACCAAGCTGGCAAACAGACTTGATCTCCTTGCCAAATCCGGTCAATTACTTGGAGTAAAAATCTGACCAATGGGGAAGATATTATTATATATTAGTTACATCTGTCATATACCAAGGAACAAGAAATGGTGACAAAGCATTTAACAGTCTTTTAATAGTTTGGAAATCTAATGGACGCTGCATGCTGATAAAAGAATTAGGAGGCTGATGAGATGGCTCATAAGGTAAAGGTCTGTGCTGCCAAACCTGGCAACTTGGGTTTCAATCTTTGGAACTCATGTGGTAGAAGGATAGAATTGACTCCTGAAAGTTGTCCTCTTACCTCCACCTCTACATGCACTCAGTGGAATGTGTGTGCATGCATACACACATACACACACACACACACACACACGCTTAAATAAATATATGTAAAGAATTTAAAAGTATTAGAATTTTTTCAGTGTGGGAAAGAAGTGAGAGTGTGGCAGCTGTAACTTACAGGATGAGGTCACATTCTCTTTTCAAACACTGGACAGCTTCCAGACTTCAAGACTTCTTTGGGACTTTTCCTGGCTGCAGGGATCTAAGTTAGGAATTTAAAATTCTAAAATAGAGGCTAAGGGTGTAGCTTGGTGTTAATGCTTAGCATGTGTAAGGCTCTGTGTTCAATCTCAGTTAAAAATCAAAACAAAGCAGTAATATTTGAAGCTTAAGTAGATTACTTCTTTCTGCATTTCTTCTTAAACTGAGTGAGTTAAACAAGAGCTGACAGAAATCACATGCATGACTTAATCATAGATTACATGATATGATAAGTCTGCAGAATATAAATATGCTTTGAGAACACAGCACCAAAATACTACTTA